ACCATCATCGGAATCTCCGACACGTCGTCCGCTGCTGACAGACAAGTCATCTCTCCGTCCGGAGAACACTGTTGTACCTACTCCTTTGGGTTTCAATTGCTTGTGGAGTCTCTGTCTATACGACCCACTCTATCACATTGTATGATATTGTCTGTTTTGAGTTTGAAGGAGCTTTGTCCCAAAAAACTTCAAACCAATTGGAGTGACACACCTACATATATACCACTTCCCATTTCTACACCTAGGCGATGTGGGATTGTGTACATATAGCTTGTCTAATGTGGTAGCTTGCTAGTGCCTCACACCCGTTCACAAGGTGGCCACAATCACCCCCTTGGGGCCGAAGGTCCTCGTTGGCCACACTTTTGGTTCGTGAGGTTCTGATACCATTTGTAACGACCCACTTTTTATCTCAAAAGGCTTCCTACCAATTGGAGATAATACCACCATAATGTGAAATTATGTACCCGTAATTTGTTCAGAATGATAATCTGCCAGTGCCTTCATCCTGTTCACAAAGTCACGCACAATTCCACATATTCACATATATATATATATATATATATATATATATATATATTATTTTTTCCCTCTAAATTCTCTCTCTTACTAGGCACATGGGATAGAATAGGGGATTAGGCGAACAGTCCCCACTCAAAGGAAGACATATTTTCGTAGATTCTCGAGTTTGAACTTGACGGTGGTGGAGGACAACTCCCCTCATGATATTGATTGATGTTGGTTATTTCAAACACGAGATTCTTGAGAGTTTTATGTCGATCGGTTTTGCCGGGTTTGGCACGACAGAGACTGTGTGCTTCATGCTATTATTGGCTCAATACCATAAAAATATCTTTACCGACACACTTTTCAAACCCCAAAATTACGCAATTGAACCTTCCTTTCAAGTTTCAAATAATCCCAAACTAGTACCAACTACCAACCTTACCTCTGTTTTTAACAAGCTATTGTCAAATTTATTTGACTTTATTATTATTATTATTATTTTTGTTAAGTATTTGAATAAAAAATTGATTTGACATTTGATCGAATTAGAAGAGCATTTGAAGTATCTTGTTGGATCCTGTGGAGGGTAAAATCTCCACCAGTGGGCTCGACACATGTGCAGTAGGCACCTCCATTCATAACGCAACACGTGCTCAGACCAATTAGCGACCCGAACCGAGGAAGCGGTCGAATGGCGCAAGGTGTAACCGGTCCAGTCTAGAATTGACAAATCTGTCAGCCCACAAAAGCCCATAAATGGTACAGTAGAAGCCCGCTGGGATGCCTAGTCTGACCGAATCACTTATAATCCATGTATCATGGATGCCCTTTATTTCTGACTATAGCGTTTTTTCAGAAATGAGAAAAACAGAATCCTATACAACACAACATGAATACGTCGACATGTCAAATTTTAAAAATATAGGACAGAAATATGGCTTGAACGCGATTATATAAATATGAATTTTTATTTATATATATGTATTGAGTAATAGTATTATAAAATTTTAATTTATTTATATTTTTTATACTTGTAATGACTTTATATCGTACATATACATTTATTCACTTACTTTGTCATAATAATATTTTAATATCATTTGTGATCATATATGTATAATGTCAATTTTTCTTAAAGAAGAAGTTGAATAGTTTAGAAGATGTTCATATTACTTTTAAGATTATCAGGTAGGTTTGTGTTAAAAATGTTTGAAAGTGTCGCCTCCAAGACGTGTCAGCAAAGTGTTCAAAATAATAAAAATTTATTTTTTATTTACAGACACGTATATAAAGTGTTGGACACATATCCGACGAGTGTCCAACACGAGTACGACTCATTTGTAGAAGTGTCTGTACCTCATAACTTATAACACATTAAAGTAGGCCTCTACTAGGACTTACTTTAAAAACATCTCATGGTACCAATTAATTAGATTAGACTATTCGGCCTAAAAACTAGACCTAAGTATCATTACTCTATTTGGTTAGAGAGAAAACAATTTTTGCACCAAATTAAATGTGAACAAAAAAATAAGTTAGAGAATTCAAGTTTCTTCAAAGAGCATTGTGCGAGTTATTCGCCATGACCAAAAAAATAAAAATAAAAATAAAAATAAAATAATATTAATATTAATATAAATAATTCTAAATCCCAAATCCTAGATTAAACCATCAAAAATTTAAGTGAGGCCACACCCCTTAGGGGCAAACAAGTACGGAGTAAATAAAGACAAGAGAAAACTGTAGTAAGCCCAAATGGCAGCAAACAGAGCCCATCAAAGGGACAACCAGCCCATAATGAAATAAGCGCCGACCAATCCGAAAAGAGCTTTGGACTATACGGGATGTAACCCAAAAGGATATTCCCTTTCAATAATAGAGAAAGGGTTCATCTCCACTTTGTTATTCTTTCTTTAATATATTTGAAAAATATTTTATGACTTTCTCCTAAGTAATTTACTTTTAGCACAATATTATGTATATAATTTATTATTTTTATAAAATTTTAATTTTGATAAAGGGCTCCAATGCATCATTTATGGATGCTGCATCCATGACCTCTTGACCTCCGTTATCAAAGGTCCTATATAATTTGTCACATAAAATCTCTTAACTGAAAAGCAACTACAAACAAGGGCCGAGCTAGGATTTGAATTTAGGGGGCATAGTGGGAATTTTATTTTTAAATAAACAAAATTAATAAGAAGAAGAAAAAGAGAAAGAAAAATGAATTTTGAATGAAACAAATTAGAGTATGATTAAATAAGGAAAAATTAACCTTTTTAAAAAGGTAATTAAAAAAATTTTAAAGAGTAAAAGAGAAAATAGAAAAAGTTTTAAAATTTTTTAAAAACTAATAATTTTAGGGGGCATAATATACAAATTTCTATATATATATATATATTAAAATAAAAGAAAATAAAAACCACATACATATATATATATATATATATGGTTTTTATTTTATTATATATATATAAAGACAATTTGATTTGGTGGAGTTTTTTTTTTTTTAAATGTTGACCCAAGTACACACACACACATGGTGTTTTTTTAGTGTTAGAAATATTCCTTCGCTCCACATAAAGAGGTGGAGCAAAGGGAGGCTAGACTGGACCTTCATGGCCCTCCTTCATGTTTAAAGAATTTATCCTTGTGTAGGTTTATTGGACCAACTTCCTCTTTAATTAACCTTAAAAAAAAATAGTAATAATAATTCCTACTTAATTATAATTATAAGAAACAACTTGAACTGTTTTGCAACAACACTAAATGGTCACCTATTACCCTCTTTGACCTGGGGACATAACAGGAATTTAAGAGATAAGTTCTTAACTTTTGAAACATTGTTTTCACTGTGCATTGTGAGTGTATTCTGGGGTCAGACACACGTACTTAAAGAAAAAAGAAAATAAAAAAGCTATTACCCACCACTTATGAGCTTTAATTTGTCCACGTGTCACCCCATGAATTATCCACACGTTGCCAATCTATTGGTACAAGTGTCGGAATTCCATTTATCCACCTATGAGTTTTAATTTGTCCATGTGTCACCCCATGAATTATCCACATGTTGCCTATCTGTTGGTACAAGTGTCGGAATTCCATTTATCCACCTCTGAGCTTTAATTTGTCCACGTGTCACCCCATGAATTATCCACACGCTGCCAATCTATTGGTACAAGTGTCGGAATTCCATTTATCTTCCTGTACCACTATATGCTGGCGGCTACAGATGCTCCGCCACCACATCAACTTCCGGATCACATTATTACTGAGTTGGTCTTTCACAATTCCGTCCCTCTAATTATGAAAAATGACACTTTCATAACAAATTAGCCTTCAAAACTAAACATCTTGAATCCCACGTGACAAGAATACCCCCAGATTTTACTCGGAATAAGAATTTAAATATAGACATGGTAAATTTATATAAGCATTGAAAACACTAATTATAATTTAGATAATATTTTACATTTAATTTTTGTTCTAAATTCGAAAGAAACACTGATCAATAATCATCTTAGAATGTGGAGGGCAATACGATGAGCATCAAAATCGTAACCTAAAAGTAACGGGCTAAAGGCTCTTGGCCTAAATAGTTTTCGAGTTCAGAGTGGACAAATTTACCTATAGTTAAGATCAATACATAAAGTTCTTATTTTCAATACATAAAGTTCTTATCATTGCGGCATTTAAAGAGGGTCAAATTTACCAATTCAGAGAAGAAAGACAAAATAAGTCAACTTATCTTTGTTAGAAATATAAAAAATAGAAATTTTATATTATATTAATGTATGAGATATAAATGACGAGATGTGTGGAGAGCAAGAAACTTAAATGGTAAATTTATACATAGTTAAAATATATTTTAAAGTAATTTACCGGATATAGAAAAACTTCCAAAACTAAAGAATACAAAAACATAAATTACAATATATCCGTCAACTATCCTAATTAATTACTAAATTAATTTAAAAAAATTTACATAAATATATTAAAAAATACAGACAATCTCTAACGTGTCAAGCATAGAGGCAGGGCCCAAAACCATGAAGCAACAAAAACTTTCTAAACTAAAACATCCTAAAACATAAATTACAATATATTGGTCCACTCTCCTAATTAATTTAAAAAAATTTATATAAATATATTAAGAAATACTGCTCATACTGATAATATCTAACGTGTCAAGCATAGAGGCAGGGCCCAAAACCGTGAAGCAACAAATTAATTTGGTGGAAAGCAACCTAATCCTCTCCAAGTCAAACATGTAAAAATCTATAAGCCTCTCTCATCTATATGCTAGGTCGGCTCCTCCAAAGTGACACCTCTCAAGTACACAAGTATCTCGCCCAAAACAAAAATCCATATCACAAAGTGCCACGTCCTTTGTGTCCCTATTGCATCAACTATACCACCTTTATCTTTGTAACAACTTAGAAGTTATATTTAAAAAGTGAAATATGTTCCTTTCTTTTTAGGACACCAAACAGAATGAAAAGATACAAAGATGATAACTATGACCATATCTATCGACATATAGGACCTGTCCTTCATTAGCTGGAAATTTCCTTCATCCCTTTTCTAGAAAGAATGAACTGGCAGTCCGTGTACCCAAATGCCCCTTCTCGAATGTCCATGTCATCATTTTTTTTAACCTAAAACTTCATCACAAAGAAAACAAAACCCTATAAGTATCTAAACATAGATTAAAATTATCGACAATATCATCATCCTCAATTCTCCAAGTCCCAACACATCAAACAGAGTCGAGACAAAAAAACCAGTATCTTCCCACTCATTTCATCAACCATGACAGGCACACCTGAAGAAAACCAACCTCATCAACCACCTCCATCGTCACCACGCAAACCTGATCAATCAGAAGAATCTCACCAAATTCCAATCACAGGAGAATCAGCATCTACACCGACTGATGAAGATACCGAGAAGTGGGGGACCCATATCATGGGCACACCGGCTGTCCCCACCATCCACCCAGACAACCAGAAGGCAGCCTTGTGGGGGGCGGAGGACCACCAGCGCTCCTTCCACCACCACCAGCCTTACCTCCAGCACTCCCCTATTGACAAGTCCAACACCAACCCTCTTGAACCCGTCATTCACATGTTCAATTCCTGGAGCAGCAAGGCTGAGACTGTTGCCCGCAACATCTGGCACAACTGTAAGTCATTTCACGAACTCTTATCCTTTCCAGTACACAGGAGAGGTCCGGTGAACAATCAGATGGTGGTGATCATCACTCCGTGTGGTGGTGCCAATCACCACCTTTGATTACTGCACCTCTCCAATTTGACACACACTTATCATCATCATTCTTAATAATATATATATATGAAAGTGATGTATGAACATGTGGTAATTTGACTGTGTTGTGCATGTGAATGCAGTGAAAACAGGACCATCAGTGCCAGGAGCTGCATGGGGGAAGCTTAATCTGACAGCAAAAGCAATAACAGAGGGTGGATATGAGTCTCTTTTTAAGCAGATTTTCGCTACAGAATCGAGTGAGAAGCTGAAGAAGACATTTGCCTGTTACCTTTCCACCACAACTGGCCCTGTCGCTGGAACCCTCTACTTGTCTACAGCTCATGTGGCTTTCTGCAGCGATCGTCCATTGTCCTTTCCTGCTCCATCTGGGCAGGAGTCTTGGAGCTACTACAAGGTAAAAATAGATAATTTATTGAAGAAACAATGAAATATATATTTGAGTCTGGATATTAATTATCACACAATTGAAAGGTGAGCTTTAACATTAAAATTGCGTTGGTTGCTAAAAATTTTAAATGTCAAGGCTCTCCAATTTAGTTTCTTTGGCTTTTGATTCTTTAGGAATCATATATATAGAGAAATTATTGGATGGTCCTGACCAATCACAATTTGACCCGTAAGCAAAAAGCTGCTCACACATTCACTGAAGGGTCCTGATTTCCCGGTACCATGTAGTCCTGAACCATGTAAATATTTTTCGATGAGTACATGAAAATATTGAATGAAACTATGATCACTTATACCAATGGGCACTATGATCACTCAGATGATTGAATTTTAGTTAGATATATCACATTTGTTTAAGTTTTGAAGCACCTAATCTTGTTAATAAGATGGTGGTTTAAATATAAAGCAATAACAACAACAACAAATGTTTGAGTAAATTAAAAATAAATACAATTCCCTATGTTATGTCATGTGTTGATGATAACCATACTTGTTTGGGCAGATTATGATTCCGTTAACAAAAATAGGGTCGGTGAACCCAGTGACCATGAGAGAAAAGCCATTGGGGAAATACATTCATATTGTTACCGTCGACGGTCATGACTTCTGGTTCATGGGTTTTGTCAATTTTGAGAAAGCGTCGCATCATCTCACAACCAGCGTTTCAGATTACAGAGCAGTAGGACCTGCAGTGGAAGAACCAACCAGCGTTTCAGATTACAGAGCAGCAGGACCTGAAGTGGCAGAACCAGTTTCTAGCAAGCAGATATGAGCAGTGGCAGAACAAGTTGCTAGCAAGCAGATATGAGCAGTTGACTTTTGAGTTTAGGATATGAGTTTTTATGCATTGGTTTGTAATTTATGTAATAAATTTACAAAGTTATACAATTTATGTTCGTGTATTTGATTGTTGGTTTGTTAGTTCACAATCCATGTATACATTTATACCTATTTGTATATTATATTGATTGAAAGTTTTGGACGAGTATGTATGTTAGAGATAAGTTAATTTTAATCTTTTTTGTTTTAAAAAAATCCTCCAACCCAGTAAAAGGGTCAAATATTGTTTCATTGGACTGCATTACATAAGCTACAATTTTTATATTGACCAAAAAAAATATATACATGATTATTTAGTTGATCCAAAAACAAAACTAAGATTGACATGTTTAGAGAAAATTTAAGGGACTAACTTGATAATGTCACCCCATTCAAACATCGACATTGCATATCAATTGTTTAAGATTATATAGTTGCTCAACACACAAAACACACTTGCAGTTTAAGTGTTTGTATATATTCCCCTGATTTCATGCAATGTTGCTAAATGAACCCCCAGATACCCTTTTTTTTATTTTATCATTTCAATGCATATCTAAAGTGCAAAATACACCCTCCAAAAGAGCACAACATTAGATGAAGAGCACAGCATTAGATGATCAACACTTAGATTCACTAATCGCTTTAACAAGAATGATAAATGAAAAACAAAATACTAGCAAAGGAATGCTAGAAAAATGCTCGATATGCTCTAAATATGCTCAGAGACAATTATGCAGCATCCATAGGTTTTCTGAACATCAGGAGTGTTTATAGAGAAAGTGAAGCTTGAAAACTTTAGGGTTTGAGGGTTATAATTAGAAATGGAAACTGAATTTTCACAAAGCTTGAATGATCGAGTTAGAGTGTCCATTGATCAATAGCAGTCCAGAAGGCTTCGACTGATTGAAGTCCTGTGTCCTTTCCCAATTAAGATTTCGATTTAATGCAAGTTTTTAAAAATAAAGAATGCATGAACCTCAATTTTGATGAATGCATGAACCCTAGTTTTGATGAGTACAAAAGTGTCACTTTACCTTTATACCCTTAGCTTTAGAGATTACCTTTTCTTCCCTTGATTATAACTTCAATTCAGTTCTGTCCTTGGACAAGAGTCAACTAACTTGACACTAACAAACAATCGAAATTCTAACTACAAACAAAAATAAAAGCAGAGACTCAAGTTTTTGACACCAAAATTGTCAAAATAAGTCATGTTGTACTTAACATAATCCTCTGCCACAAACTAAGCATCTCTTTTGGCAAATCCAATTTTTTACAGGTAATTAATGCAGATTTCCCTTTGAAATTTCAAAACTATCACTTCAAGAATATAAAGATTTAAAATGTTAATTTGAGACATTTTTCAAATCCAAGGATAATTTAGGATTGTTGTAATTTTGTTTTAAAATGCCATTTATTTTTGGGATATCTCAAAAAGTAAAGGACATTTATTTATGAACGGATGGCGTAACGAATATGAGTTTGGAACAATGTATATCATTACATGCACCCAAAAAATCCAAACAGACAAAGAAATATAGCTGAACTTTGAAATATGTATAACAATTCAGAATACATTTTTCCCCAAAAAAATTCATTAGGCACAGTCTACGAGATTTTATGCACATCCATTTTAACTTCTTTCGGGAAATATGATAAGAGTTAAATGCCACCATACCATATAAATTGAGTAAGATCTAAATGAAATTAACCATTGCAAACTTCAAATCTAATATGCCTATGTGCCTAGAAGTTTAGTGTTACAACATTAATACAACATTAACAATAACATATGAAACAATCCTATTATATAGCAGTTCTTCCTCTAATATCCAAAACACAAAAGCAATAAGATGTATTAGCATTTTGCACATAAAGTCAGCATTTAAATTAACATATGAATCAATCAGATATTATTAATCCTTTTCCCCACATTTGTGAAGGTACCCAGTTCGCATTTTTGTCGAACAGGTGGTGGGCATAATGTTATGTGATACAACTAACAGTTGCTGAAAAGAATACGAAATTACCAAATTATGTGCAAAGAAATTGGACCTTGGCTTGAGCTTATTGAAGCATCCATGCTTCGTGATCTGCATACCATCGAATGCTCGGGGTTACAAAATGGCTTGATGCACTATGCAGAGTTGTCAAAGTAATTAAATAAAATAAATAAAAAACGAAAACTTACATATTAATGACCATTTCATGAATGCAATTCTTTACTTGTTTTAATGGTTGCTCATTTATGTAAAGACAGAAGTGCCCTCCACCTGAAGACGTCGTTACGTTTCTAGCCATTTGGCCCATTTTCTCTTTATCATTTTTCTTCGTGTCGCTGTACCTTGTTTTATCAAAGTCTTAAAAACGACTGTTTTTTCGGTATAGAAAATGAGAAACAAAAATAAAGTAAGACTAGTTATAAGTGAAAACAAAAGAAAAAGGAGGATGGTGTAAAACTCTAGATGCGTTTTGTTGAAAAAGAAAAGAAAAAAGAAAAGAAACTTAAAAAAGACATAATTAATATTTAAATTGTGTCCAAAAAAAATAGTGGAAAAAAAGAAAATAATTATTTTATTTAATTTTGAATGCAAAAGCCTTGAAGAACTTTTATTATTTATTGGCATGGTCCAAACACCAACGTGGATTGATACCTTAGTATTATAAAAACTAAAGTACTTGCCAATTATTGGAAGCCTGCCTGGATTTGGTATTTACTTGTACTTTCAATCCTTTAAATAAGGTTTGAGATTTGATAAATTAGTTGCTAAAGTAACTAAAATAGTTTGAGAATATTTTCTCAAATCCTATATTTATGTTTTTATCAATTAGAAGTCACAAAATGATGGATAGTCCTAACCAAGTTTAAAATTATTTCTTAAATACACTCATTTATATTAAAATAAAGGGTAAAGTATAGAGACAAGGTTTGAGGTATGCAGATAAAGATTTGTTTGTTTTTGAACAATCACGCTTCTTTATGAAATTTATCGTCCAAACAAAGGTTTAAAACATATGAAAAATCTATTTTACCTTTTATTATTTTATTAATTTTAATTATAACATATTAAAATAATTAAATAATTAAATAATTAAATTACCCTTTTCATATTTCCCTCCATATAGAGTTTTTCAGTGGGATTGTTCTTGCTGGTCTCTGAAGATTTTATGATTGATGATGAAAGGTTGGGTAATCGAGCAACAACTGGTCAACAAAAAGGCAAATATTCTAGAAAGAATGAATTGGCAGTCCGTGTACCCAAATGCCCCTTCTCGAATCTTCGTGTCATCAGGCTCTTTCCAACCTAAAACTTCATCACAAAGAAAACAAAACCCTTTAAGTATCTAAACGTAGATTAAAATTATCTGCAATATCATCATCCTCAATTCTCCAAGTCCCAACACATCAAAAAGAGTAGAAAAAAAAAAAAAAACAGTATCTTCCCACTCATTTCATCAACCATGACAGGCACACCTGAAGAAAACCAACCTCATCAACCACATCCATCGTCACCACACAAAGCTGATCAATCAGAAAAATCTCACCAAATTCCAATCACAGGAGAATCAGCATCAGCACCATTTACATCGACTGATGAAGATACCAAGAAGTGGGGGACCCATATCATGGGCCCACCGGCAGTCCCCACCATCCACCCAGACAACCAGAAGGCGGCCTTGTGGGGGGCGGATGACCACCAGCGCTCCCTCCACCACCAGCCTTACCTCCAGTACTCCCCTGTTGACAAGCCCAACACCAACCCTCTTGAACCCGTCATTCACATGTTCAATTCCTGGAGCAGCAAGGCTGAGACTGTTGCCCGCAACATCTGGCACAACTGTAAGTCATTTCACGAACTCGTATACTTTTCGGTACACAGGAGGTGTCCGGTGAACAATCATGTGGTGGTGCCAATCACCACCTTTGTTTACTGCACCTCTCCAATTTGACACACATATATCATCATCATTCTTGCCTTAATCCCATTTGATATGTATGAAAGTGATTTATGAACATGTGGTAATGTAGGTGTGTTGTGGATGTGAATGCAGTGAAAACAGGATCATCAGTGTCAGGAGCTGCATGGGGGAAGGTTAATCTGACAGCCAAAGCAATAACAGAGGGTGGATTTGAGTCTCTTTTTAAGCAGATTTTCGCTGCAGACCCGAGTGAGAAGCTGAAGAAGACATTTGCCTGTTACCTTTCCACCACAACTGGCCCTGTCGCCGGAACCCTCTACTTGTCTACAGCTCATGTGGCTTTCTGCAGCGATCGTCCATTGTCCTTTGCTGCTCCATCTGGGCAGGAGTCTTGGAGCTACTACAAGGTAACAGACAAAAAATAGATAATTTATTGAAGAAACATGAAATATATATGAGTTTGGATATTAATTATCACACCATTGAAAGGTGAGCTTTAACATTAAAATTGCTTTGGTTGCTAAAAATTTTAAATGTTAAGACTCCAATTTAGTTTCTTTGGCTTTACATTCTTTAGGAATCATAAATATAGAGAAATGATTGCATGGTCCTGTGCAATCACAATTTGATCCGCAAGAAAAAACTGAATATAGCTGACACAATTTACTCATGATTCGCAGAGACCATTTACTTGTAAATGTAAAGATTTCTCAAGAAGTATATGAAAATATTGAATGAAACTATGATCACTTAGACCAATGGGCACTATGATCACTCAGATGATTTCAGTTAAGATATATCGCATTTGTGAGTTTTGAAGCACCTACTCCTCTTCACAATAAAAGAAAATGTTCTTAATAAGATGGTGGTTTAGGTATTGTCAGACTCAAAACTCTTGTTCACAATAAAAGAAAATCTTCTCAATAAGAAGGTGGTTTAGGTAATGTTACAATTCCCTCGGTTATGTGTTGATGATAACCATACTTAGTTATGTCATGTGTTGATGATGACCATACTTATTTGGACAGGTTATGATCCCCTTAACAAAAATAGGGACGATGAACCCGGTGACCATGAGAGAAAAGCCATTGGAGAAGTACATTCAAATTGTTACCGTAGACGGCCATGACTTCTGGTTCATGGGTTTCGTCAATTTTGAGAAAGCGTCGCATCATCTCACAACCAGCGTTTCAGATTACAGAACAATAGGACCTGCAGTGGAAGAACCAGTTGCTAGCAAGCAGATATGATCATGTTCATACTAGGGTCCTTCATCCCCCTTGAGATTTGACGTACTTGCCACTTGTCTTTCGAGTTTCAGATATGAGTTTTTTGCATCAGTTTGTTGGTTTGTAATTTATTTAATAAATTTGCAGAGTTATACAATTTATGAATTTATGTTCATGTATTGTAGTAATTGTTTGTTGGTTTGTTAGTTCACAATCCATGTATACATTTATACCTACCGTATATTATATTTGATTGAAAGTTTTGGACTAGTACATATGTTTAGAAGAAATTAATTTTGATCCTCTTTGTTTAAACAAATCCTCCAACCCAGTAAAAATGTCAAATATTGTTTCGTTGGACTGCATTACACAAGCTACAATTTTTAAATTGACCGGAAAAAAAAAAAAAACAAAACAGACATGATGGTTTAGTTGATCCACAAAAAACAAAAAAACCAAGATCGATATGTTTAGAGAAAATTTAAGGGACTAACTAGATTATATCACCACATTCAGAAACTAAAATTTCTAGCCAGTTATGCACCACATAATCCTAAAGATATATATAACACTTGGAGTGATTGTAGAATGTTGAAAAACGAAATTCTATGGCGTAGCTTGAGGTTCAAAAAAGGATATGAGTGGGGCACAGACGCTCCTTCGTTTGTCCCGAGAGAGATCATTCCAATCAAGGCAGTTTGAGATGTGAAAGATTGTCCAAAGTAGGAAATTTCTTTTTAGAACAGTTTGCAAAAAAAGAGGTAGTTAAAGTGCAAACCCCACCTTCCTCCAACAATAACCTATGAAACAGTCTTATTATATAGCAGTTCTTCCTCTAATAATCCAAACCATAAAAGCAATAAGATGTATTAACATTTTCCAAATAAATTCAGCATTTAAATTAACATATGAATCAATCACATATTATTAATCATTTTTCCCACATTTGTGAAGGTACCCAGTTAGCATTTTTGTCGAACAGGTGGTGGGCATAATGTTATGTGACACAATTAACAGTTGCTGAAAATAACACGAAATTACCAAAAAAGATGAACGAAATTACCAAATTATGTGCGAAGAAATTGGACCTTGGCTTGAGCTTATTGAAGGGTAGAGCTTATTGAAGCATCCATCCTTCGTGATCTGCATACCATCGAATGCTCAGGGTTACAAATTGGCCTGATGCATTATGGAGAGTTGTCAAAGTAATAAAATAAAATAAAATAAAATAAATAAAAAACGAAAACTTACATATTAATGACCATTTGAGACCATGTTTCATAAATGCAAGTCTTTAATTGCTTCAATGGTTGCTTATTTTCTCTTATATTTTTCTTCGTGTCGCTGTACCTCTGTTTTATCAAAGAGAGAGATTGTCTTGAAATACTGTTTTTGGTATAGAAAATGAGAAACGAAAATAAAGTAAGATTAGTTATAAGTGAAAACAAAAGAAAAAGGAAGATGGAGTAGACTCTAGATGCGTTTGGCTGATAAATGAAAAAAAAAAAATAAAAGAAAAAAGAAAAGAAATTAAAAAAGACATAATTAATATTAAATTGTGTTCACAAAAAATAGTGGAAAAGAAAAAAAAAATAATTATTTTATTTAATTTTGAATGCAAAAGCCTTGAAGAGCTTTTATTATTTATTGCCATGGTCCAAGCACCAAAGTGAATTGATCCCTTAGTATTATAAAAACTAAAATACTTACCCATTATTGCAATCCTGTTTGAATTTAGAATAAGGTTCCAGCTTAGATAAATTACTTGCTAAATAACTAAAATAGTTTGAGAGAATATTTTGTCAAATCTTATATTATGTTTTTATCGATTAGAAGTCACAAAATGATGGATAGCCCTAATTAAGTTTAAAATTATTTCTTAAGTACACTTATTTACTTGCTATAATGGTAATTTATTTATATCTAATCGATAAAAGTTTGTTCATCTTTGAACAACCACAACTCCTTATAAAATTTATCATCCAAACAAAATTTTAAACATTTGAAAAATTCATTTTATTTTTTACTATTTTATTAATTTTAATTATAAAATATTAAAATAATTAAATGACTAAATTACTTTTTTTCATATCACTGAGTTTTTCAAGATTTTATGATTGATGATGAAAGGTAGGGTGATCGAGCAACAACTGGTCAACAAAAAGGCAAATATTCTAGAAAGAATGAATTGCCAGTCCGTGTACCCAAATGCCCCTTCTCGAATGTCCATGTCATCAGTCTCTATCCAGCCTAAAACTTCATCAGAAAGAAAACTAAACCCTAAAAGTATCGAAACATAGATTATCTACAATATCATCATCCTCAATTCTCCCAACACATCAAGAAAAAAAAACCAGTATCTTCCCACTCATTTCATCAACCATGACAGGCACACCTGAAGAAAACCAACCTCACCAACCACCTCCATCGTCACCACACAAAGCTGATCAATCAGAAAAATCTCACCAAATTCCAATCACAGGAGAATCAGCATCAGCGCCATTTACACCGACTGATGAAGATACCAAGAAGTGGGGGACCCATATCATGGGCCCACCGGCAGTCCCCACCATCCACCCAGACAACCAGAAGGCCGCCTTGTGGGGGGCGGATGACCACCAGCGCTCCCTCCACCACCAGCCTTACCTCCAGTACTCCCCTGTTGACAAGCCCATCACCAACCCTCTTGAACCCGTCATTCACATGTTCAATTCCTGGAGCAGCAAGGCCGAGACTGTTGCCCGCAACATCTGGCACAACTGTAAGTCATTTCACGAACTCCTATCCATTCCGGTACAGGAGAGAAGTCCGGTGAACAATCAATTGGGGTGATTATCACCATTGTTTACTGCAACGGACCTCTCCGGTACAGGAAGGATTTTAATTCGTAATCTGACACATATATCATCATCATTCTAGGCTTAATTTCATTCCATATGTTTGAAAGTGATTTATAAACATGTGGTAATTTAAGTGTGTTGTGTATGTGAATGCAGTGAAAACAGGATCATCAGTGTCAGGAGCTGCATGGGGGAAGGTTAATCTGACAGCAAAAGCAATAACAGAGGGTGGATTTGAGTCTCTCTTTAAGCAGATTTTCGCAACAGACCCTAGTGAGAAGCTGAAGAAGACATTTGCCTGTTACCTTGCCACGACGACTGGCCCTGTGGCCGGAACCCTCTACTTATCAACGGCTCATGTGGCTTTCTGCAGCGATCGTCCATTGTCCTTTACTGCTCCATCTGGGCAGGAGGCTTGGAGCTACTACAAGGTGACACACTGAAAAATTGATAATTTATTGAAAAAACATTGAAATATAGTAGTATATGAGTTTGGACATTAATTATCACACAATTGAAAGGTGGGCCTTAACATTATAATTGTTTTGGTTGCTGAAAAATTTAAATGTCAAGGTCCCAATTTAATTTCTCTTCTTTACATTCTTTAGAAATCATAAATATAGATAAATTATTGCATGATCCTGACCAATCATCATTCGACGTGCAATCATAAATATAGATAAATTATTGCATGATCCTGACCAATCATCATTCGACGTGCAAGAAAAAGCTGAATAAAGTTGACACATTTATTTAAGGATTAAGTTCTGATTGGCATGGACCATATAATCCTGAACCACGTAAAAATTTCTCCAAAAGTATATGAAAATATTGAATGAAACAATGATCACTTAGACCAATGGGCACTATGATCACTCGGATGATTGAATTTCAGTTACATATATCACATTTGTTTAAGTATTGAAGCACCCACCAACTCCACTCTTCTTAACAATAAAAGAAAATCTTGTTAATAAGATGGTTGTTTAGGTATTGTTATACTTGTATTCATATAAAACGATGATAACAACCACAACAACAACAACACAACAAGTTATTTACTAAAATTTAGTAAATTAAAAATAATTACAATTCCCTCGGTTATGTCATGTGTTGATGATGATAACCATACTTGTTTGAACAGGTTATGATCCCGTTAACAAAAATAGGGTCGGTGAACCCAGTGACCATGAGAGAAAAGCCATTGGAGAAGTACATTCATATTGTTACAGTGGACGGCCATGACTTCTGGTTCATGGGTTTTGTCAATTTTGAGAAAGCATCGCATCACCTCACAACCAGCGTTTCAGAATACAGAGCATAGAGCATAGGACCTGCAGTGGAAAAACCAGTTGCTAGCAAGCAGATATGATCATGTTCATACTTGGGTCCTTCATCCCCCTTGGGATTTGACGTACTTGCCTCGTCTTTTGAGTTTCAGATATGAGTTTTTGTGCATCAGTTTGTTGGTTTGTAATTTATGAAATAAATTTATAGAGTTATATATACAATTTATGTTCATGTATTGTAGCATTTGTTTGTTGGTTTGTTAGTTCACAATCCATGTATACATTTATACCTAGTTTTGGACGAGTATTATGTTAGAGATAAATTAATTTTGATCCTCTTTGTTTAAACAAATCCTCCAACCCAGTAAAAGGGTCAAATATTGTTTCATTGGACTGCATTACATAAACTACACTTTTTATATTGACAAAAAAAAAAAAAAAAACACAAAGACATGATTGGTTAGCTGATCCAAAAAAAAAAAAAAAAAAACTAAGACCGATATGCTTAGAGAAAATTTAAGGGACTAACTAGACTATGTCACCACATTCAGACATCTACATTGCATATCAATTGTTTTAAGATTATATAGTGGCTCAACACAAGCAGCATTCCCATTTCACACTCATTGCTTACTACGCGTAAAGACAGCATGAGAAACTAAAATTTCAAGCCAGTTATGCACCACATAATCCTAAAGATATATATCTAATACTTGGAGTGATTGTAGAATGTTGACAAACGATATTATATTGCGTAGCTTGAGGTTCAAAAAAGGATATGAGTGGGGCTCGGTTCAAAAAAGGATATATGATACTTGGAGTGATTGTCCCTGAGAGAGATCATTCCAAGCAAGGCAGTTTGAGATGTGAAAGATTGTTCTAAGTAGAAAAGTTTTCCATATATAATTCCCTCATGCTATTTCAAAAATGAGTTAGTTAAAGTGCAAACCCCACCTTCCCTCAACACCATATAAGAAATGTTCACAAAACACACTTGCAGTTTAAGTACGTGTATATATCCCCCTGATTTCATGCAATGTTGCTAAATGAACCCCAGATGCCCCCCCCCCCCCCCCCCCCCCCCCTTTTATTTTTTATTTTTTTATTTTATATTTTATTTTATTTTTATCATTTCAATGCATATCTAATGTGCAAAATACACCCTCCAAAAGAGCACAGCATTAGATGATCAACACTTATATTCACTAATCGCTCTAACATGAATGACAAATGAAAAACAAAATACTAGCAAAGGAATGCTAGAAAAATGCTCGATATGCTCTACATATGCTCAGAGACAATTATGCAGCATCCATAGGTTTTCTGAACATCAGGAGTGTTTATAGAGAGAGTGAGTGATGCTTGAAAACTTTAGGGTTTTGAGGGTTATAATTAGAAATGGAAACTGAATTTTCACAAAGCTCGAGTTAGAGTGTCGATTGATCAATGGCAGTCCAGAAGGCTTCGACTGATTGAAGTCCTGTGTCCTTTCCCAATTAAGATTTCGATTTAATGCAAGTTTTCAAAAATAATGAATGCTTGAACCCTAGTTTTGATGAGTACGAAAGTGTCACTTTACCTTTATACCCTTAACTTTAGAGATTACCTTTTCTTCCTTTGATTATAACTTCAATTCAGTTCTGTCCTTGGACAAGAGTCAACTAACTTGACACGAACTAACAATCAAAATTCTAACTAAAAACAAAAATAAAAGTAGAGACTCTAGTTTTTGACACCAAAGTCGTCAAAATAAGTCATGTTGTCCTAACATAATCCTCTGTCACAAACTAAGCATCTCTTTTGGCAAATCCAATTTTTTACAGGTAGGGTAATTAATGCAGATTTCCCTTTGAAATTTCAAAACTATCACTTCAAGAATATAAAGATTTAAAATGTTAATTTGAGACATTTTTCAAATCTAAGGATACTTCAGGATTGTTGTATTTTTGATTAAAAAGGCCACTTATTTTTGGGATATCTCAAAAAATAAAGGAGGACACTTATTTGAGAACGGATGGAGTAACGAATATGAGATGGAGAAGTTTGGAACAATTTATGTCATTACATGTACCCAAAAAGTCCAATCAGACAAAGAAATATAGCTGAACTTTGAAATATGTATAACAAATCAAAATACATTTTTCCCCAAAAAAATTCAATAGGCACAGTCAAAGAGAATTTATGCTGATCCATTTTAACTTCTTTTGGTAACTATGATGAGCTAATTGCCATTATAGCATCTAAATTGAGTAAAATCAAAGTGAAACTAACCATTGTAAACTTCAAATCTAATATGCCTATGTACCTAGAAGTTTAGTGTTACAACACTAATACAACATTAGCAATAACATATGAAACAATCTTATTATATAGCAGTTCTTCCTCTAATATCCAAACCATAAAAGCAATAAGATGAATTAACATTTTCCACATAAATTCAGAATTTAAATTGACAAATGAATCAATCAGATATATTAGTCATTTTCCCACGTTTGTGAAGGTAAACCCCCCCTCTCTTCGCATTTTTGTCGAACAGGTGGTGGGCATAATGTTATGTGATACAACTAACAGTTGCTGAAAAGAAACGAAATTACCAAAAAAGATGAACGAAATTACCAAATTATGTGCAAAGAAATTGGACCTTGGCTTGAGCTTATTGAAGGGCAGAGCTTCTTGATGCGTCCATGCTTCGTGATCTGCATACCATCAATGAATGCTCAGGGTTACAAAATGGCTTGATGCACTACGCAGAGTCGTCAAAGTAATAAAATAAAAAACGAAAACTTACATTAATGACCTTCTGTATTTTAAAAAACCAAAACTTACCATTTTCTCTTATATTTTTGTGTTTGGATAAATAGGGGAGAAAAGAAAAGAAATGATAGTATTAGTTAGGAGAGAAAAGAAAAGAAAAGAAATGATAGTAATAATTTCTATTCGTGTTTAGATAGATAGGGGAGAAAAGAAAAGAAAGAATAGTTATTTTTGTTTAGATAAGATAGAAGAAAATAAAAGAAAGAATAGTGACCAAATTACTATCCTATCCTTACAGGTCATTAAAATTAAATGCTACATATTATGCAATTAAATGTGTTTCTTTGATGGATTATATTCAAATAAATAAATCCACCAAATAAATCCAAACCCATCTCAAGCTTCAATCCAACCTCAAATCAATCTAATTCAATTCGTACTCTCCGTAATAATAATATTATTTTTCATTCTTTTTTGTTATTATTGATTGATTGATTTATTTTTTTCATTACTAATTAGTAGTATGTATAATTGAAAGAGGTTTGTTCGAATTACTTTATTTTTGTTTTATGTTTTCTGTTTTTACCCACTGTTGTTAAATTACGGAATAAACGCAGGGAGTTGATGATGACGACCCACTGTTGTTAAATTATGTCGGTGGCACTTTCTTTCTCTCTCTAGCATTTATATATATATATATATTAAAGATATGTGCATTTTATATAATTATGCAGTTAACAGAGCCATAATATACCTGATTACATGTAATCATGTTGGATATCATGCATGTTACTGTAATCTTATTAAAGTATATTTAGGTAAACCATATAAAGCAGCTCTGCTTGGTCCAAATTCAGACCAAGCCAAGATTAATTAACTAAGTTGAACAAAAAAGTTCTGTGAATTATTACATTTATGGTCATCATGGTATATGCTTTCTTAGTTTCCTGAGGGTAAATGTAGGCTAGATGCTGAGATTTTGGTTCCGGGTCATCCTTATAGTGAAATCACATAGATACATTTGGATGCCAAAGTCTGTTTAAACTGAAGCACAGCCATAACTAGCTTGATGCTCAACTAAAATATAATATTTCTTAATAGCACCCTTCTTTCACTCAGCCTGCTACTAGGTGCACTTAGACCACCAATGTTTATTACTCTGACTATTTTGTGCACTCAGACCACCAATGTTTATTGCAAACCTTGCTATTCTCGTCTCCACTGGGAATGTCTCAGTCGGTATCAACCAATATAGAGGTCCTGAGATCATGTGTGCACTAATGCATGGTTTGTCTTTCCTGTATGTCCTATATACTTTAAAAGCAATCTGTCACTAATGTATACAAAATAGTGTTGACCTTGCTAAATTCAAAGTATGAAATTTCTCAGATAAATGATAATAACAACTAAAACATCCCCTTAGCATAGGATGGAAGACAAAGTCTCTTGCTCTTAGATAATATCCACATATTGTCATCGGTATGCAAAACAGGAAGGGTGTGTTTGGTAGGGTTGATTTGGAGGGATAGGGCGAGAAAAGAAAAGAGAAGATAGTATGAATTGTGTTTGGATGGGTTAAGTGGAGGGATAAGGATGGATAGGGAGAGATATCCCTCCCTATCAGCTATTGCCTTTCTCTCCCAATTTGAGAAGATAGGGAGAGAAAGGAGAGTGGGAATAAGTTGTAAAGTTGTAATACCAAAAATGCCCTTTAGAAATCTACACACTGAAATGTAATTCCATTATGTAATTCCATTCATGTCCCAATGATATATTACTCTTACTAGGGTAACAACCGGTTAAGAAGTGAGAGGCGACGCAGAACTGATTAACTTGAGAGGCGACGCTGCTTCAGAATACTTCTCCAACTTTGGGCAACGGTGACACTGCTTCTTTGTCTTCTCCAGCTTCGGCTGTCACCACAAATCTTCCTCTAATCAGATCAGGTCAGTATTATTGCAATCAATTGATGCTTTTGCATCAATTTTTGGATTTGTTTTTCTTGTTAATTTTTAGTAAACCCTAGTTTTTAATTTCTTTGCACTTTCATCAAAGGAGTGAAGATGGTGATGATGTTAATAATAATGATGATGATAATTAAGGATTCTGATTGTTGGGCATTAAATTGATCAAGAAAATAAATGCTTTTTGCATCCAATAGAGCCTAGTAATCTGGCGGCTTGTAATGGGATTCTCCATGTGATTGATGGTCATTAATTGTACTTTCCAATATAGTCAATTTTAGAAATTAGAATGGTCCAGATAACTATCAATCCTCATTGAGATTTGAATTATTGAAGCTACGCAAGTGAAGTTTTTCAATTACATAGCACATTTGTAACTAGGTTTCGAGTGACTGTTTTTTTTTTTTTTTTTTGACCATCAAGTGACTTCAACATTATAAAACTTCTATGCAAAGGTTTTGACCTTTTCCTGAATTAGGTAAATTAAAAATTAGTGATTCACACCAAAAAAAAAAAAAAATATGTGGGCAAAAAATTGTAGGGGTTTCAATATACTTTTAAAAGCTCCATCATTTTCTTCTACGTTTTTAACTTTTTAGGACTAGTAATATATATATCTGAGTACAAAGCTTTCTAATCTCTCTCCCTCTCTCTGGTCTATTATTAAACTGTGTAACTTTTTAGGACTAGTAATATATATATCATTTTCTTCTACGTTTTTAACTTTTTAG